TGCTATATCAAAGTATTTGCGCTTCTAGTTTATATTAAATTTTGTAATTGTCGTGTAAGAGAAGAGATCTTTTCTTAATCATTATACATACTGGCACTAGATCAAAACGAAAACTCAATAATTTCTTTGTTTTCAATTCCTTCTAATTTTCAATAGTAAAATATTTGTAGAAACGAGCTTTCAATGTTATTTTTACCCATTAAAACAAGGTAGTGTCGAATCAAAAATAAGCATTGAGTGGCCCCTCGGGGCACATCCGAGTTGGCAAATGATGGGCATTGATAGGTTTGCAACCTCAGGGTGGGAAATTCGATTTCTAGATGGAGCGGTTGAGTGTTGTAATACTCAATTTAGATAGAGCAGTTTGGTGATGTAATATCCATGGAGGAAGGCTCCTTTGAGGACATGTGTATAAAGGGTGCACGGACCCTGGTCAATTTGGGCATATCTCGCGGTTAACCTCCACCCATCACTGAGGGACAGGGATGGGTGGTCCAGAACATAGTCTGGTGCAAGTTGGGATACCTAGATATAAAAAAAAAAAAAAAAGCATTGAGTAGCATGTGCTTTGGATGATGTACCTCATGGACCCACTTGTTTGGGATTCAGAGTAGGCGTGATAGGTGGAGAATTATTAACTCCATTGCAAGATAGCTCACTTGGAAGAATAGTAGGGCAAAACCATCATGCTCTCAAAGAAGATTGCCAATGCATGTTTAAAACACAAATTAATTACTTTAAAAATATATTAATTTAAAAAAAGCAGTTTTATAAATAAATAGATAAAAATAACAAAATAGTAAAATATATAAAATCAAATATGACCTCCATTTACCCCTTGAGTCTACATTAAATAGTTGCGTGATTGACATTTGAAACATCGTTTAAACGATAAAACGTTTAGAAAACTCATCTTGCCTATTTTCAACTGCTAAAATATTATTTATTTCAAAATAAACTTATTTATTAATTATAAGTAAACATCTTAAACTTAAATATTTTTCCTACCCATAAATGTTTTCTTTTTTGCTCTACCTAATCATGTCAAATTGCATTGGCCCTACACTGGATTACTTAAAGAATTGGTCCCCCATATATCTTATTTATTCAAGTATACACGACAAAATGTGATTATAAATAAAGAAACAATTAATTGATTGGTTTTTTCCAGTACAGAATTCAATCAAGAAATGTGCAGGCATGACAAAAGTTGTGCAGGCTGATGGCTCATAGAAAATGAAGTGAAACTATATGTGGGACAGTGGGAGTGCGCTGAAGAAACTAAATTAAAATGAGTAAATGAGTTTTTTTTTTTTTATCTTCGTTTAAACTTTTAGACGAACTGGTTATATAAAAATATTATCATATATCATGATCAGATCAATAATTACATAGGGCCGTGGCAATAAATATTCTTTTATCTCAACATTTTTTTATAAATTCTTCCCTTTGTTTCTTCCATTGGACTCAACTAATCTCTAATAATGGCTACCAAAATATCTGGTTCACCATCAATCTACTACTTCAGCAGCCATGGCAGAAATTGCCAATATTTGCATTTTCCAGATTGTTGTTCATTCAATCTCCCTCTGATCAAGGGCCAATGTAAGATCAAGAACCCTAATTATGTCTACCGATTTGGAGCTGAATACGAATTTTATAAGTAAGTTTTCTTATATACAAACCCTCTTTAGGTTGCTGTTTGTTTGTACCTTTGTTGTTTGAAAGTGAAAAAAATTATTGAAGTTACAGAAGGTGGTGCAGAAGGAGCAAATTTCAACTAAAAGCCTCAGCTAATGGAGCTGGTTCTCCTTCCTCTTCATGGTAATCTTTTAGTTGAAAACGATAGATTTGAGCTTTTAAACGAGACAGATCAATAATTCAATATGATATCAGAACAAGCTACGACCATCGAATTCAAGTCTTGTCGCGTACTAGGCCTTTAATGAAAAAAAATAATTCGGCTGGGAAGACAAAACAAAACTATTAAATTTATCTCATGTCTAACCGTAGAAGTTTTTAAAGGAGGGAGTTTGATATTTTTAAAGGTTGAGGAGAAAGTGGTTTGGTTATATTGCTAACTTTGAATCTTCCTCGTTGTCTCTGATGTAGGAAAAAGTGGTTGTTGGGGCTTCTGCTAACAGTGATTCTTCCAGCATTGGGACAGAAAGGGGGACTATTTGCAGTCCTTAAAAGTTAGCATATATTAAAGTTTTGTTATTAGCTTTTGTGACAGGAGCTTATATTTTTAATGGGACTAACCTTCGGGGTTTTACTATTTTAGGTAAGATCGACGCAGCTGTGAAGACGGTGGAGACAGTGACGGAGATGGTGGAGGAGGTGGCGGAGGAGGTGGAGGAGAAGCTTCCACAGGAATCGAAGCTCAAGGAAGCTCTAGAATCAGTCGATAATCTGGCCAAGAAAGCTGTTAAGGAGGCTAAACAAGCCGAAGAACTTGTTCATAAGGTAACCAATCTCTTTACTGATCGAAAAGTTGCTATACGACGCGTCAATCTTCATAGCACTCATGATTCGATCTTATTTGTTCATATTTATAGATAGAGAGAAACTTATGAACTTGCAATTATCAATACTTTTGAGTCATTGGTTCGATCTAGATCGTGAGTCAAATTGGACGAGCTAAGAAGGATATCAATGGTCAATACTTCCATCGATGACGATCACGTATTTTGGCAACTCATTTGAATCTCTCCTTCTAATCTTAACTTCTTCGACTTCTCTCTTGGTTTTTGCTTCCCTTTATACTCCTCTACACAGGATTGTCAAACAGTTTCTTGCACCACAGAGATTAGCTATCGGCATAGAAGGAGAGGAATGATGAACTCATAACTAAGATTTCTCTCATCTAGCTACCCAAAATCCACAAAGCTAGTTACATCGCAAAAATTCTAGAAATTTAATTTGACAGCTTAGGTCACACCACGTAAAAATAAATCAAAGAAAAGATGACTTATATATAATTTGAATAATGTTATTTAGCACAACTGATGTTTAACTATAGTCTAGGTGGCAACACTAACAGCATTAAAGTACAGGTTCAATTAAATGAATTTCAACTTTAATTGAATCTATCATACTGTATTATTTATATAATTCAGACATAACTTGCACGGAAAGAGACTTTCACTTTTTCCTTTTGTTGTTATTTGTTGAAATTGGGGTAGTTGGTAGCAGAAAATAATGGTAGTCTAGTTGTCTAGGCATGCCAAGTGAGAATCAATGGGGATGAGTAATCTCAAGTCAATAACCCATGTGTCATGCTCTTAAATGTATATATTCAATAACTTCACAGGACACATTAGATGGTTTTTAGAATGTCATCTTTGCGAACATACAATATTGTAATTGTTAGTTTTCAATAAAAATTCTTGATAATTATTGAAGACGAGATTTACAATGAATACACGTATCTATCTCTGACAACTTAAACTTTTAGCTAAAATGATTAACATGGAATCAAAACCACACAAAAGAACCTGGTATCTTCTTGACATGCATAGCATGGCTATAGAGCCCGTTTGGTAAGGATTAAAATCCAATTAAAATTGAAAATATAATCGTTATTGGATCCCTACCGAACACGCTCATAGTTTCTTTGTTACTATGTACGATTTATTACTACGTCTTTTCTCATATACACAGGTTCAGGAGGTCGAGGAGAAAATAGAGGGGTCATTGATGAAAGCTAACGCTGATGGAAAAAAACTGGACGGCCAAAAGACAAACTCCTAGGACCAAGATCCAACTGTCAATTAATGGGTTTATGGTTTTTTTTTTTTTTTTGTTAGTTTTTGTTCATAATGAATTACTCGAGCAAAACTCCATTGCTCTGATGGTCCACTCACTTTAACTGTGTTCCACCAAAATTCGTTGCCCCCATCCTAATATTCCTTAATAAATGATGAAACTTTTCAAAATGGTCCACTAGAGATAGTGGCGGTAAAGATTGTCTACTTTTAAATTTTTTGTTTAAAAGACCTTTATAATCAATATGATTCATAATGATATTGACATCGTATTTCTTCCTCTTTCCTCACTCTCCGATCCTCTCATTGCTTCAGCACTGACCTCCTCAGGCTACCTCTTCATCTTCCCTGCTTTCCCCAGCTGCCCCTGCCACCGCCCCCCTATCACCAATGCTCGGGAGTCTGTTTTAAGTATTGAACATCGACTAGGGGCATAGGAGTCCTCGGAGCTCTAGAGCACAGAGGAACCGGTGGGAGAGGAAGAAGATGGCAAGAGAATATTTGGACGTAAAAATTAAAAATTGAATCTTTTTAGCATTATTCTCAAAATATTAAGCTCAAAATTTTGGTCTTTGCTTTAAGATAAAGTTGGAGGCATTGCCTTTCTTTCCTTTCAATAGAATCCATCTAACTAACTTGTGCAACGAAATATGTTTTGATTATTAAGAAAAGGATTTTCCTTATTCAATACAAAAATCAATCCAACTTGACCACTTAACACCAAAATAGGGAAAAATTCACTTTGGGTCCCTAATCTATTGCTTATTCTCGCAAGGGAAGGAATTTTCTTCTCCTTTAATACAAAAATCAATCCAATTTCCCCACTTAACACCCAAAAGAGAAAATTGCACTGCTGCTCCGCAATCTACAAAGATCCACTTGAGGCCAAATGATAGTACTACAGAATTTTAGATTAGAAACGACAACGCTAAGAAAAATAGGTTGAGAACCAACTCTAATAAGTCAGGGACTGATGGTGCAATTCCACTCCACCCCAAACCCTCCAATCCCCGTTCATATCTTACAGCACGGTCTCTCCCTATCTTCTTGATCGTATAATATAATATTAAAATCCAATTGGACAACTCTCTTACTCAATGCTATCTAGTATCTATCACCAACCAACAATAACAAGACTATCTATATTTCATGCCCTATGAGACAATGGCCAGCCTAAATTGTTGACAAACACAAATTAGCTATTTTAGAAGTCAACTTGTACACAGAGAAGAAATGGCTGGATGGCTACCAGCAAACCAAAAGTCAAAAATAACCAATATGGATGTGGGTTTCACATTTTCTTACAAATCTGGCCTAGATCTTATACAAAACTGCGATTTACCTCCTCCAATAAAGCTTTTTGCTGGCCCAGTGAACAAAATCTGCAACATGGCGGGGCAGGAAGTGGTTGAGAATGAAGTTGGGATGTCAAAAGATTCAGAAGATGGGAAGTTGGAGATTCTAAAGGCCTTGAGACTATCACAAACACGAGCACGGGAGGCAGAGAGGAAATGTTCGGTTCTGTTGAAGGAGAGGGACGCCATCTCCAATTTATTGCTTGATGAATCACTGAGATTGTTCGCCTATAGGCAATGGCTTAGATTGCTTGAGTTTCAAATTTCCAAATTGGAAAGAGAACGGAGAACGGAGGGTGTGAAAAGTGATTCTAATAGAGTTCCGAGATGGGAAGATTATGGTGAGGGCTCTAGCAGCATGAAACAGTATGCTGCTGTAGCATTTTGTTTGGCTATTGCTGGAATGGGTTTGGCGATTGGCTGCAGTCATATATTCTGATTTTTTTTTTCCCTGCAGCAATCTTGTTCAGTTTTTACATGCTACAGATTGATTGCACACTTCAAATATTATGCTAAATAATAGATACAGAACACAGAACAAGTGATGCTCTATCTGACGTGCATTCTGCTAATTCAAAATTCACATGTAAAAGCCCCAAAACTTGTAGATTCAGATGCTCTTTCATCTTCCAACAGCATGATGATGATGCAGATAATAATAGTGATGACATGACGCAGTATATTGATAATAGCAATATTAGTAGCAACCATCAGTTCATCATTAGCCCGTGTAAGGCACAGTCAATTTCATTGTACAAATGCAAATATTCAAGAAATCACAGAAAAAATTAGCGAAGTGGATTCCTCCAACTCCACAACTCATTTTTTGTTAACAGGAGACTTGAGCACATATAGGAGAGTTCAAGCAAAGGTACTCAACTATGCATATATCCATCCACTAACATGAGCAAACAAAGATATACATTGTATGCACGTCTTCATGCATTAGAAGACACGCGTGCAAGTGCACATGGGCACAGAGATTGATCGAGAGAGATGACTTCAGAAAAGTATTTTAACTGCATCTCCAAACATATGTACAGAAGCAACTAGATGGGTTCGTTACTTCGTTTTACTTTTCTAGTTACGTGTATGCTATTATAGATATTAACACTGTCATATACATATATAAGCTGGAGTGTAAGAAAGATAATGAACTAAAGTTATTCAAATGATGGCCAAGTGTACAGACCTCAGATGACCATAGCATTCATCAATGCTCCTGAAGCTCCAAGCAGACCCAGCAAACGTGCCTCCCACACCTACACTCGATATGATTGCACCCATCCACCTTATCAATTGTGAAACCACAGCATGAGTACTTCTTCACACTCTCTCCCGTTACACCACCATTCTTGCAGAGAAGAATCAGGGCCGTCTTTGAATTCTGATACTTTTGGCATGACACATACAGATGCTACTCCATGTGGCACGTGTACATGTCTCCACAAATTATGAATCACAGGCTCCCAAAGTCCCACGATTTTCCACTCAATAAACTGATGGACAGCAGGTGAAGGACAAAATCTGTAAGTGTCCCCACTCCTTGCCACAAATGCAGTTGGACGTGTTTCCCAGTCGATGCCACTTAATATCCAAGTTGATCACACCATTGCCTCATTTTCTGCGAGGGAAGAGAGAAATTCATTTTTCAAAGTTTCATTGTGCTCAGTATTCATCTGAGAATTCCTACACCAGTAACTAGGTAAAATATTATTGTATTCATTATTACGGCAAGCTTCCAGTTCTTGCAGTGTCATGGCATCTCTTCATGGACTTCACATTAATGCTATTTTCCCAGCACTGGGTATTTTTCCTTTCCCAAGGCAAAGCCTCCCACTCTTTATAAACAAACAGCAAAGTGAAGAGATCCCCATTTTGCTGCAAAATTGCACCTTAAAGCAATCAGATTGCAATGTCTCTTCCACTGTACCAACTCTGCAGAATATGCTACTAGAATTTCCCATAACTGCGCCAAGAGCAAGGCACTCCATACCTAGGCGCTCGTGGAAGCATTTAAGGGTAATTTTACTAAGATGAGGTTCAATACCCAACTTGACTAAATCCCAACCCTCTTTCATTAATTCATGAACATCATCTCTCACTACAACAGCTCCTAATTGAATATTTCTGATGGTCATCTCTTTCGCTCTGACACTGGGTGCATCAACAAAGTCAAAATCCTGCACATTCTTGATGCCTAAAGCAAGATTCCTCAGAGCTGCAACACCAAGATGAACCATACGAATTTCTGGTTGTTCCTAGTGAGGCATTTTTATTAATTGTCATCTTCTGAGTAAATTCTATAACATGTTCCAGGTTCAATTCTCCCAGCACGACCTGCTCATTGATTCGCAGAACTCTGGCTGATTCTGCAAACCCTTAGAACGTTCATGCCAGTGGCAGGATCAAATCTACTTTCCTTCACCATGCCAGAATCAACCACATATTTGACCTATGGAACTGTCAATGATGTCTCAGCAATGTCAGTGGTGAATCTAACTTTTCTTTTTCCTAGGTAGTTCAGAAAAACTCAATGTTGGTCATCGTAAGAAAGTTTTCCATGTCAAGGTAACATATTGGTAGATGGAGCTTGCAACGTCTCTCAAGCCCATTCTAATTCCATTTGAGAGTTCAAGAAGGCAAGTATTGTTCCTTCTCCATTTTGTGGATCTCAGTCACCATCCTCCCAACATCAAGAACATATGACGCAATCAATCGAGAAGCAAAAGATCCTTCATTGCATGGGACATATCTATGCTATGTTTGAGTCCCAATTTTTAGTGAAAATAGATTTTGTAATAGTGATTTTTTGAAGAATGAGTGGTTAAAAAATAAGGAAAAGTTTTGGACTTATTTGCAAAAATATTTTATAGGGAGAATGTGGGATTGAAAATGAGTTTAAAGAAAAATGATTTTTTTGAAAATGGGGCTCAAACATAGGCTTAATATCAGCTGTTGCAGACATAATTATAAGCCTCAAACCAGGCCTCTGACCAAGTAGATTCTTAATCATCGCCAGAAGGAGATCTATGTTCCAAGCTTTTTTCATGAGCCTCGTCAACAATAATGCATGAGATCTGGGGTAATTGCTTATCGCTCATGTAGTGCTGCAGGAGGCAGTGGTCAATCATGAATATAACCTTACAACCAAAGTCCTGGGACAATGAAAATGACGAACAAAAAATAACTAAAGTATCTTTGGAACAACACAACTTTCCTCTTTAACCCTTTCTGCCAACGAGATGGCAGAAAGTTTAAGCGGCTGAGTGCAAACAATAGACTCGTGACCAAACATCCCTGAATCGGCAAGAAACTGAACCAATTGTGTGCTCTTTCCTGAGCCGGTCTCCCCTATCAGCACTGTTATCTGTGGAAATTTATATCAAATATTTAAATACAAAACAGAACACTTGAAACTATACGAGTTCAAGCCAATTAAAAACATAAAGACCAAAATGTGTGCCCACATTTGTGTTACATGTTCTACTTGGGAGTACCATTATGCATATATGCACACAAACACCCATGTACATATTATGCAATATTTATAACATAACAGTTTAGGCCTCCTTACTGCAAGTTTTTCTTCTATGTGAACCATTAGGTATCACACAAAAGATTCTATCCCTCTAGATATTATAGTTCCATTGAAAATATGGAACTGCAGGTTCACAAAAAGTTCAATTTTCATATATATTTTACAATAAAATACAAAAATAGACACCAAGTAACGATCGATAATGTCTGGCAGAATTCAGTTGAAAATCTTTGTAGATGAGTTCTTGTCAGAAAAGACAGTGCAACGATGAAAATAATATATTAATTGTACAGAATAATTTAAAAATGGAAAATTTAATTGATAATTGAATCAAACCATGACCCCTTCTTACTTTATTTGTATCTTTATTCTTTTCAATAGAAGGAAAGAAAATGATTGATTAAGCTGGCAGAGAAAATACAAAGATGAAAGAACTATATAATTTTAAAATATGTTTCATATTAGCCTGCGAATAGTGCATATACAACAGTGCCAACACTGAAAGGTAGAATACAGCTAACCACTTCTGTTTTAGCTCTTTCTTCTGTTTTCCATATGCATTATAGGTAGTTTTTAACAAAATTGAAGCCTTTTAAACATTTCAAATTCCTCTCCAGGAAATATGAGCTCCTCGTGTCACAAGGATTATTTATTTTCTAAATTATACTATGAAAATTCAGTCCATCAATCATTTTCTTGCATATATCTGGACAGTACTAACTCCAGAAGAATCTCGATTATCTAATCGTTACTTTCCTCAATGCCTAAAAGAACAGATACCAAACTCTATTCCTGAATCTTTTGCACCAAATAACAAGAGATAGAACATAAACTCTATACTAACATCCATATTCTAAGAAATGGTAAATACCAAAAGTACATAACCAAATGAAGTCAAATTAAACTAAATTAACCTGCTGGATGATATGCATAAATTGGCAATCCTTCGTCAAGCCGCCTACATTCCCTCGTTAACAAGCTGTAAATCTTTCCCCAGTAAATTTCTCCCTCTAAATAATACACCTCCACCACCACCTTCGTTTTCTCCTCATTCTCCAAATATTCAACAATAAACCTCAACCCACCCTTGAACTCCTCAACCCTCTTTGAAATAAAATCTATCTCAGCCTCCAATTCGTCCCTCTTCCTTCTTCAATTTATCTGAAGACTCTTAATCTCAACCGCTGCATTCACCAGTTTTTTCACCCATTTTTTGTACCAAGTGACCTTCCATATTGAGCTCCTGCTTATCTGAGACCAAATCAATGCTGGGCACTAGTAGTAGGAGTAAAACCGTGCATATATATATGAGAAAAAGAGGGAAGAAGGAAGGTGAAAGTGTTGAGGGGAAACGGAGACGGGGAATGGATAGTTTTCCGTTTGATTATGCAAATTGTTTTCTCATGAAAGGCTATAGAGCAATCTCCCGCTGTACCGTCCATTTTCTCAAAAAAAAAAAATAATAATAATAAATAAAATTATTAGGGCCTGTTTCAGCCCATTTTTTGTCGAAAAGAATATATTTTTAAATAATGTATCAATGAAATTGAATTTGTGTGTAATATTTTTTAGTAAATAGTGTGTGATTGAAATGGAGTAAAAATATTGTTTAACAACGTATTTTTTAATGGTTGAAACTCAACCCAATCAAGTATCAATCGGGTCGAGTCGGGTTGGTGAGGTTGGGACAACTTGTCAACAAAGACTAAAGTATGTGGGTAGGATTGAACGAATTTATAATTGACTCATGACTTATATAGTATTTGGTCTCCATAGTTACAATGAACCAAAAAAATCTGAATTATTTTGGCACTCTATGCCCGAAAATGTTACATGAATAGATTGGTATTAAATTATATGAAGTCAAGAAATGTTTTTGGCAATTAAAATATTTTTGTATTGAATATGTATTTGTTTATACTATTTTTCGTAAAATACATTCTATCCAAATCTTATAATATTATTCTAAGAGTTTCCAAATAATATTATAACACTTGTAAAGTTCATAAATATAGTCGAGTTGGGTTGGATGGATTTATTCAATTTTTATGAGTTAACCTGTAATTCGACCCGACCCAACCCACCTATACAACCAATTCATCCACTCGTGTAAAAAAAAATCCAAACCGATCAGGTTGGTTCGATTTGGACGATTTTGACATGTTCGATCAAGTTTTGCCCACCCCCAGTTGCCATCACCTACCATCCCAGGATGATGGCGGGAATCAATTCCAAATATAATAATTAAAATCACAAAGATTAGGACATCTCTGAATGATTCAAGAATAAATCCCCAATATTCAAATCAAATCCAAATCATTTTCTAAAATGACTAAGGTGCCGTTCTCTTTGGCGTTTTTGAATCGTTTTCTGTTTTCGATTTTCCAAAACAGTGAAAACGTGTTCTCTTTCCTATTTTCGAAAACGTATTTTTGAAAATGAAAAAAAGATTTGTACAGAAAACACCAAAACGATAAAAACATCGTTTTGGCTGTTTTCAAGCCAAACCCACCCAAAACACGGAAAACAATTTTCGCCACTGTTCATTCTTCGGCCAAAATTTCCCCCAGAAATCTCCAACCACCACCAAAAGCACCACCGGAAACTCCCACCACCATAGCCAAAATCGGTATCCTAGAAATACCCCCACCGCCACAGCCAAAATGCCACCAAAAAGACCACAATCGGCATCCAAAAAATACAAACCCCGCCACACGGACCAACATTTTTTCCGGATCTGTCTGCTTCAATTCCTCATCCCCACAACGTTGAATCATAAAATTGGCCACAATCGAGTCTTCAGCAGACACACAGAACCATGGGTTACATGTCAATTGCAACAATTAATTCAGCAACAGCTCCAATTTTCGAATCCACTGCCACCTTCCCCTCACCTCCATTTCCCAATCGTCCCCTTCCCCTCACCCCCACACACAGCACGCACGTAAGAAAATGGGTCGTGTGATTTGGGCACAGCGTAAGGGAGCAGGATTCGTTTTCAAGAAGAGGAAGAGAGACGGGAGGAAGAAAGACGGACGTGAGAGAGTGAGAGAGAGAGAGACGGGAGAGAAGCGAGATGGATGGGAAAGAGAGAGAGAGAGAAAGAAAATGTGTTTAAAAGAGAACAGATTTTTCAGTTTTGAGTTTTTCAAAATAATTTTTCAAAATGACAAAAAGAACACATTTTCAACAATCTCAAAATGGACAGTCAAAACACAAAACACAAAATGAATTCAAAACTCAAAACACAAAACTCAAACACAAAGAGAACAGCCCCTAATCTTTTCTACCTCTACCATCTTCATCGTAGTCAAGCTCAATCGTGCACAATTCCCATTGCTGGCTTCTCCACTCTTACTTTTCTTCTCCACCACCCTTTTTTTTCCTTTTTTAAGCATTGGATTTAAAATTCTTCGTCAATTTCTGCTATTCTTTTTCTTCCGCTTCTCTTTGATTTATGAGCTTTAAAATGATGAATCTTGCTACACGAACATAAGGGATAACCGAACACACACACACCTCGAGACCCATGCGCATTGTGAGGGTCGATCATCCCTTTGGTCATTCATTTTCTAGCACTTCAGCATAATTCTAATATGATTTTCAACTTTTCCTTTTTGCTGGGGAACCTGGGGTTAAATATCATCTAATTTTATATTTAGTGTCACTGTAGTCACCCAATTTGATTTTATTTCACCATGA